AAAGGGCTGCCTAAGTTTAAAGATGATTGAGGATCTTTAAACCAAATTCTTAAACGATTTTTTAACTTCCCTCCTCACAGCCTGGAATCTCTTTAAAGCAATAAAACCCGCATTCCTTCACATTTTCCACCGCCGCACGCAATGGAAATATAAAAAAGATATCTGCCCCCAGGCCAAGTGACATAAATAAATAATTCTTTATATATATTTTTTTGCCTGTTTCTGTCGCTTTGTGTGTCCTAATGTGTTTGTTGGGCTTCGGCGGGTAGCGAAACAAGGATAACATGACTGATTATGTAAGCAAAAGGAAAGGCGGTGGCAGTAGCAGTGGCAGTGGGCCACCAAACAAAAGCGTACAGCCAAGCACATTTGGGTCCTGCCTGTCGTAGACCCCCGTATCTCCTGGCATTTTCCGGGAATTCGTTTTCATTTCTTTTTTTTCGGCAGTTTGCCGCAGCAGGTTGAACGCCAATGGCATATACACACACACACACCCACTTATTGTGCTGTGCGTGTTTTTGAGAAAGTGGCACAATTTTTACTTTACGAACGCCTAATGTAATAAAGCCCGCCCTACAGCCATACAGCCCAAAAATCACCCAGAAAACCCCCCGAAATGGATGGCCTGCGTTTAGCATTCGCAGCGATAAAGCCACTGGAGCAGCATCAGCAGCAGCATCATCAGAAGCCATAGAAAATCTGAGGATGTTGGCCATGTGTGTTGTTGGTGTGCTTCTAAAGGTGGCCCAAAGCGGGGGTCAATGGCCATAAATCAAACCGAAAATTATACGCATTCATCTGCTGAGCTGGCAAAAGAACAAGAAAAATATATATCTGCCACATTGCCTGCGGCGAGGGTGGAGCTAGCTAGCTAGCTGACTGCCTTTTCCCAACATTTCAATGGGGGAGAGTTTTCCAAATGGCGGAAAATATGGGTAACTGTGCGAAATCTAATGGCCACCAAAAATCGATAAAAGGCAACTTGCCACTCGGTTATATTTTTATTTTGTTTTTGGTTTCTTTCACCTGACTGGGCGAGTGTTTTAATTGCGTGCGAATCGAATGTCCGATGACTGGAATACAAATATTCATGCCGTTGTTAATGCCAGAAATTGTTATTCAAATAAGTCGGCCATTAATCATTAAGCTGAAGCTTAGCGACTTTGAATGGCTAAAATATCGAAAATGAATTAATGTTAGCGGGGGGAAGGCTTTGTTGGTCATCGACGAAGTGGGAAGTCGCTTTAAAAGACTTTTAGGTTTTGATATTTCATTTTAATTTGTTCAAAATTCATCAAATTAGTTTTTAAATGGCAATAATTTTGTTGTTTATGCTTTTTTATGTATTAAATTATTATTTTAAATTTTTAGTGTATCTAAAACTTCTTATATAAGGAATTTAACTTGCCTATAACCTGTAATTACTCTAAAATATAAGATACGACTTTGAAGACAAAGAAAGAACAAGGTAAACAAAGTCAAAATAACCGGTGTTGTTCAGGTATACATAGGTATATATACAGCTATATAAACAAGTATATTAAGTGCTAATAATAATACGTTTAGAATGCGGCTTTATCAAAAGAGGATTAAAAAACGAAACAAAAGGAATGCTACTCAGTTTTTGGGCAACACTTTTATTTGACCTAAAAAGTAGAGATCCTGTTCAGCGAGAGGTGATTGGTAAGTTCTTAGTTAAAAGAAGCAAATATAAAGGAAAACCTTTTAGATTTTATATCTAAGCAAGAGTGACTAGTTAATTAACTAGCGATACTAACTAAATCATAAAATATGTGGAATAAAATTTATTAGCTAATGAAGAAAGATGATTAAATGAGACTATCTAATAAGCTCCCTGTAGACCCAAGAATTGAAATATATTCTAAGGTCTTGTTGCACTTCCGAGATACCTTTGCAAGTATCTTTGCATCTGTGAGATACATTCTCGACCGCATTGGCCGTGGTGGAGCAGTTCAAAGTGAACTGGCCGCCAATTAACTAATTTGCCAAGTCTCTCTCTGAGGGGCAATTAAGAGGACACGGCCAACGACCAGATAGGGAAGTGCACTCACACTAGCACACACGAAACACACACACACACACACATATATACACACTCATATATATATATAAGATAGCCATGTGAGGCAGTTGCAGATAATTCAACTTGTTGCAGTTGGAATTTGTCCCCCAACTCGGTGTTTACTTGCCCCTTGCGCTCACCTGGCGATGTCAGAAGTCAAGCGAACTGATAATTGCAATTCGAATGGAATCGAAATACCGGAAATGGCTAAAGGGAAAACTTTCAGATTGTCATGATGTAGGTAGGTAGGAAAATAAAGAAAAAAAAAAAAAAAGAAAATTCCAAAAATAATGCTCAACCTGCCCAGCTAACGTCTACCAAATGGAACAGTTCATTGGGAAAATTCCGAATTTTCCAATTGCCTCTTTTCATGTTTATCCGCAAAGTGGCGCCAAAGTTTATCAACAATTCAACAAATTAAGATACTTTATTGCACATTATTATGTTATTATTGTGAATTGCTTGCCATTTGGTGGGGAAAAGAGGGCGCCGACGCGTCGATCTCGTCGAGACAATCATGTTCCTCCTATAAATAGACCCCCCTAACCCACTCTCCTAGCCCCCTGAATGATAATGAAGCCAACTCCAAAGCGTGTGCAAACATCTGGCCAACAAAACGATCAAAGCCGCTCATATCGGTGGGTTAAATTTACATCTCTCGTGTACATATCTTGTAGATTTGCTTAGTTATTGGAAATGAAAATGTATCTTTTATAAGAATCTACAATATAATTGATCTTAGCTGTGAATTTTGTATGGGAAGATTGTATGTTAAGCAGATGTGGTTGGGGTTCGAGGGAGATTGTTGGGGGTTATTGTATGTAGAAACACATTGCTTGATTAAAATGTTTTGTAAGTTAAGTGATTAGATGAGAAAGAGTAGGTTTAGAAGCATGAAGACAGATTTTCCTTAATAAAAAGAGAACTGAAACCATTTTCTACTCACAAATCCAAGAAACAACTTGATTATATTTCATAAAATGACTTCCTAAAAAGCCTTTCAAATCTCCAATAAATTATAAATACATAACAACAATTACCTAGCAGTAAACATGTTCATTGCCCATCCCCTATAACATCTGCCTGGAACTTGTCTAATGGATTATATATCCTTAAAAGGCTGACAACAACCGCTCTGGAAAACCGCTTCCCCAACCCACCGAAACGCAGACAGAAACATTATCCAGACAGCGAAGCATTATTGTAATCGATTGGACTTTATTCTATTAGCGTCGGCATAATATACATTTTGGCCCCTCGAAGGAAAAAAACAGCCACAAATTTTCTCTATATGACAAAAAATGAGCCAGGAAAGTGGAGAAAGAGAAAGATAGAAGGGGAGAGGCAGAGAGTGGAAAACCACATTCGCAGGAATACATTTCCCGGCATAGACTTTATTAATTTTCTAATGGATTTTACGTTTTCTACAGTTGAAGATTTCAACATTTCAGATAAATATTTATGCGGGGTGTGGGTTGGAGCTGGTGGCTAGATATATAGATACCGACTTGTACTTGTTGTTATTGTTGTTGTTGTCACTGTCGGCGACAGGACTCTCCGTTTGGTGTCTCTTTTTTTTTTCTATATAGACAGGAATTGATTACGATTGGCAAATGGCAGTCGGTGGAAGGAAGTTTTGTTTATGTTTGTCCTGGTAATTTATGCGACTGTATAAATTGGCCATAAACATATAGGAAACTGCAGAGGTTGCTGCTGTCTGTCTAGTGTTTGGTTAACATAACTAAAAACAGGAATTAACAGCCTTTCGAGTGCCTAAATGGGCAAAAGTAAATTAAATGTGTGTTTAATTGGGCGAGCGAGGGGGGAGAGGTAATACTGTACCAAACACATTACAGTGCCACTTGAAGTTTCGTGCCCCGGGGCGATTCTTGTGAAGTGCAACCTGCTGAAAAACTGCTAACAAAATGATACGCTTTGTAAAATTCGCAGCCAGGCATCACAAATTTTCTCGCTGATTTTCTTTGCGTGCCAAATGATACTTTTCCCAACGGATTTTCCACCATTTTGGGCGGTGGGTGGCTTTTAATTGCACACCAAAAGGAAAAATGTATGTGTCTCTGGGTGTGTGTAAAGAATTCTTTTTTTTTTTGGTAGTTACTATGTGTTGGCCAAAGTTGACAAACTGAATAATTGGCAATTATTTTTGGCCAGGTTTTATGAGCTGATAATTTCACATAATATATGTACAGAGTTGCATAACTTATTTTGGCCAACACCTAGGTAAGAGTATATTTTGGGAGGCATGCACATGCTGAACTATATATGACAGACACTGAGATACAGATAGGTTTTTGGTATGTACAGTTTTGGGGGGGAGAACTATTATAGTAAGAGGGAGGTATGTAGTATGCACACAACATAGAACTTACTAGATTTATTGGAATTTGAAAATATATATTTGGCTTTACCTCTCGAAACTCTGGCAGGAGACGCTTCCTTTTGACTGACACGAAATGAAGACAAACGGGATGATCAGGATGATGGTGATGTGATGATGTTGCAACACCAACGACAGCAACAACAACCAAACGCAAAAAATCAACGCAAAATTCAAAGAAGCTTTTCGATTCAATGGATTTGGAAAGTTTTTGGAGTGTCTTTTTTTTGAAAATGTTTTAGGAAAGGTTTGGTTTTGTTTTTGTTTTTGTTTTTGTGTCTCTGTTGCTTATGGAAAAATTTATATGTCTTTGTTTTGGGTTTCGTTGGGACTTTTGGCATTCTCAAAATCAAAAATGAGAAATTTTCCAAAAAAAAACGAAAAATGGCTTTGCAACGCATATCGAAAAAGTGAAAATTCAAAATCGGGTTTTCTCACCAAAAAAGAAATTCAAAATAAATCAAAGGCAAAACTATAAGCTAAGGGTTTACAAAAAATATAAGAAAAACATTGACTTACCTAGCCAGTCTGGTAGAAGTGAGCCCGCAAGAGATTCTGAGTATCTCTTACCTGGAAAAAACGGAGAGAAAAAGGTGTTTAGTTATGAAGGTCAAGGGCAGTCACAGTGCCTCAGATCGTTAGTAAAAAACAAAGGTTAAAATACAAAGAAAAATGGTTAAAAATATATAAAGAAGCTGTTAAATAATTTTTGTTAAAGGCTTAAGGTTAATATAATGATAAACAAAGTTAAAATATAAAATAATAAATATGTAAAACATTTATAAAAAATATTCAAAACTATTAATAAATAAAAGAGGTATTTTAGTAGTGGCAATAAAGGTAAATAACCCATAAAATGGCTTAAAATAAGAGAATTTTTCATTAAGAAGTTAAACAACATCACAGAACACAAAAACTTCAGCTTTTGGCTTATTAAAAAGAACACAAAGCACACATTTTTTAAACATTAAAGCACAATATAAATATATATATTTTTTACATGTTGAAAACTTCCACTTTTTGTTGGTAAAAATGTAAGAAATAATAATGTTTAAATTGCCGCGCCTGTTTGAGGAACTATAAAAGCCACATGACTCGGCTAAGCACTGAGTTAAGTTTTTCATAAATTTTTGGGCAATTTCGAGGCTGCCTTAGGTATTCTTCCTTTTATGGTCATGTAAATAACCCCAGGTAAATCATAATTCTAAGCTTAGCCCAGGGACTGTTGTCGTCCCATCTCCCTGGCATGCCTCTAATGCTAATCTAATAACTTTAGCCGTCTCAAGAATTTATTTGCCTCAACAGCAGCGCACAAAATTATGCACGGAGGGCAGACCCACATCCTCTAATCCTCCCAAGCTCAAGGTTCCAAAGTGTTCCCGCCGGAAGAAGACGTTTGGAGAGAGCGCGCGCGTCAGGTGTGCGCATTAAAAAAGGAGTCCCTCCCTTCCTCCCTCCTGCCTGGCAATCTAGTAAATTCCTTACAAAGTTTTAAATAATCGAAAACGACACGACGCACTTGGCGAAAAGTTGAAGCATGTAAAATTTGCATAAATAACAACTAAATGCAACTTGGCGCTGGCCAAAATGTTGCCAAATGATGAATTGAGCGGTAGACAGGGAAAATGGTTGGGCGAGTTTTCTTTGTAGAAAATGTAATTTTAAGAAGAAAGATTAAGACATATTTTGCAGCTTAAATATGTTACATAAATATATGTTAGAATGAGATCTCAAAAATATAATTATAAGAAAAAGAACAAATGCTGCTGGAAAATCTCTTTAAGCCAGAAAAAAGTAAGAAGATGTATTTTTAGATCATTTTATCTAATATTTACTTTAAAGATCTATCATTTAATAGAATAAATGTAATATTTATGAGCTTGTAAAATATCATTTGAAATTTTCAGCTTTCTAAACCTTTTTTGTCTTTTATAGCCGCTTAAAAAAAACATTTTAGCTGCCATGGAACACATTTAAAAATATGTTATCTGCCATAAAATGACACTCCACCTTCCTTGTAGTTTGCTGGCATTTTGATTTTTGATTTTGAATGGATTTTTCATGAACTCCGTCGGCATCCCAAAGCCCCTTAAACAACCCCCCTCTCTCGTTTGAAAGTTGGCAACTGCAACCAACTCAATCGACGCGTCTCCGTTGGCGTCAAAAATGGGCGTAGCTTAAAAAAAACCCAACAAGGGGAGGAATCAGGCCGAGGGATTTTCTGTGTTTTTATTTTTGCTGTGTCTGCCGCGCTGTTGTATGCAAATAAATCAGCGGCGCCCCATCATATGTCTCCGGATCGAAGGGGGTGTCAGGGGGTGTTGGGTAGGGGTAAATCGGCGAAGGGGTTTGGCCTGCTGCAGTGCGCAAAAACATATCTCACACTATTTGTCATGCTTTTAGATACTTTTATTTTAAAATAAATTGCAAACTCTTTTGCGACAGTCCCCGCTTCCAACTGCCCACCACCCCGCTACTGCCTGTACCACATTCAGCAATATTTTATAATGAAAATCCGCGACATGTGCATGTGGAAATGCAGTGGAAATGCAGCAGCACAATTTTCACATTCGACTAAATTTATCGCGCCAGCAGTTCGGGATTTTCCGAATTGGAATAAATGCGCAGCAGCCAATAAATAAGTTAAATTAATGGCCGAGTGTTGACTAATTTTTTGTCGCCACTTCCCTCTCTGTTTTGGTTCATTCACTTTGTTGTTGTTGTTGTTGTTGTTGTTTTGTATTGACGGTTAATAAAATTAGCCAAATTTACGTCTCTTTACCCATTCGGCCATTAACAATGGCCCAACCCCCAGATCTCTTGCCATCTCTCCAAACGAACCCTTCCGATTGCATCCCTTAGATGGGCGGCACAATCTGTTAGTGGATGTGCCGCCAAGCGTGAGCGAGTAAAGTCCCTTTGCCTGGATTTATTATTTTTACAAGATAAATGCAACATTTTACATTGGAATTTACGGGCGTGCGCCGAAAAAAGCCCCAACAAAAACAATGCCAAAGGCAAAAGCAAACAATGACAAAGTCAAAAGTCGGGGAAACAGTGGGGCAAATTGGAGGGTAACTAGGTTGCCTGAGAAATTTAAATATTATAAATATTTTTATTCCTTTTTTTTTTTTTAATAAATTGGTATGGGTATCAGGATTTTATATCAGTAATATCTGATATTAATAAAAAAATACTAAATGAGCTTGATTACTTTGTTTAATTCGTCTTTTTTGTATTACTTTATATTTGTGAAAAAATACTAAAAATACTAAAAATACTAAAAATACTAAAAATACCAAAAATACTAAAAATACCAAAAATACTAAAAATACTAAAACTTTTAACTCATTATACATCTTCCAAAAATAATTATTGTAATATTATTTTTTAACAGGCACAAACTATATTTTATTTCCAAAATCTCCAAATTAACCCACTGTCTTCGTAACCACTGTCCGCTGAGAATAAATTTCACGTGGCAACAAGGGACAGGAGTTGAGGCAACAACAACAACAACAACGACAACACCACTAGTAGCAAACGGCCAGCGGCCTTTTGGCCATTTTCGATAAAGCACATTTAAACAAATGAAAATCCTTTAAACGAGGATAACACACAGAGAGCACGTCCATGCTCGGTTTAACCCCATGACTCCAGGGGAAGCCCAGAACCCGCTCATCCCCAAAAACACACCCGCCCCTTCTCGCAAACGTACTCACTTGAGTGTGTAATTGTGTATTTATTTGCGTTATTTGACAAAATATCAACAAGCACAATCAATCCTCAACAGTCAGTGGAGTCGCCCAGCCAAAGAGCTGCGACCTCCCATCCATTTGGAACCCCCTTTGGCCCCTTTTAACCCCCTCTTTACCCATTCGACTGCAAATTGCAAATGCTGCCATATGTCTGCCAGGGTTGCCAGCCAGAGAAATCCATTTAAATTAAAGCTGAGTTGAGCTGCATTCGAAAACGCATAAATATCGGTGTGTCTCCCCGTCTGTATATATATAGTATGTACATATATATCCCCGACAGATCTGGCTACAAGTGTATATGTGTGCGTTGTGAACTTTCAATTTGAGCTGAATTCAAATTTAGTCCAGGCCAGGGCAATAAAATGTGCAAACAGAAAGAAAAAAAAACTAGAAAGAAAGCATCGTTTGTTGCTCCTCTCTCAAAAGCCAAACTGAACTTTGGCTCAATTTTCGCACAAATTTAGAGACTGCAAAAGGCCAAAAAGGACTTTCCAGATCCTATATAGGAGTTGTAGCAGGGTAGGGTGTGCGAAATTGTATCTTATGCAAATTTACCTAAATTAAACAAAATCTTTGAAAACAGAAAAATAAGTTTCGAATTTATAGGCGAAACTTGTGTATCGAACCTAAGTAATGGGCGCAACTTCAGGCCTAGGACCTTCGCAGGACCTCCTCTTTGTGTACTCAAATGCCAGGACCACCCATACAGCCCCTCATCCTCATACCATTCGAGAGTGTATTTGCTAGTGGGTATATGTGTGTTTGTGTGCTAGTGTGTGTGTGTGTACAATGCGACAAAGACTTATGGTTTCATTGCCGGAATTAGAAGCTTTCTCTGCCTGCATTTCCACTGAACAGTGAACAGTGAACACACTGCACTTGTTGTTGCCGCCGTCGGTGGAACATTTGTCGTCCTTGTTGCTGCTGCTGTTGCCCGTTGCAAAATATATTGCAAATAATTCTCAATATATCGTAAAATGTCTGCTGCTAGTACAGTAAATATGCAAAGCTCGTTTAGCGCAAACAGTTGGTGGGAGTTAGGGGGTTAGGGAGGTGGTTTAAGGGGCGGTGTCTAAGGGGCGGGTGTGTTCATGGGCGAGTTTTTGGCCACTGATTTAGGGTATTGGCAACTTTTGGTGTTGGCCAAAGAAATGGGTTCAAAATAAAGCCCTTACGAGTGCATAAGAGTGTCATTAATCATGGCTAAAACCAATTTTAATGGCTTAAAATGCACTGAGAGGATTAAGAACAAGAAGATAAGAGACGTTGGGATTTCAGCATTTAAGATTAAGCTTTTTATCTTGTAATTCTTAAAGAACTTTGAAGAAAATGAAAAGGAATTCAGGTACAAAACTACAAATATCTCACCACTTTATAATATTTTATAATGGTTTTAGCTTATTTTTTTTAGTAATTTTTAGAAATAAGTTTTACTTTTTACCACCTTTTCTAACCCCCTACTTGACTATGCATAAAGGGGTGGTAATCGCCCCCAAAAGCACCCCAAAAAACCCACACAAACTGCATAGGGAAACATATGGCATTCTGCGAGTACATTCACGATGGGTCGCACACTTTGACAGTTAATTTCGCAATTGTATTTCAATAACGATAAATTTCCACGTTCGACATAAAGTTGGCCTTGTGCGTATGTATGGGTGTGTGTGAGCCAGGTCCTGTGTAATTGTGTGTGCAGCTGATAAAGGCTAAAACCCGGAACATTTGCTGCAGCAGCCAATACGGAATCTAATTAAACAACAACTAAGTATATGCCAAATGGCACAACTGCACTCTCGTTGCATACACATTGAT